TTGGTAATTTCCACATTCTGTGGAATTCTTTGGAATGGTACAAATATGGATCTCTTCCAATCAATTGGCCAGGTGGCTGTCTTCCAAACTTCTTGGCATAGATGAGTAAGTGCCTCCAGTGCAGCATATATCTCAATGGGTATTCCATCAATTCCTAGAGCCTTGTTTTTCACCCATTCCTTCGCACAACTTTGACCTGTTCCTTGAATACCATTTGTTTTTGATCATATGCCACCTCCTGAAATATGTGAACATCAACCAATTCTTTTTGGTACAGTGACTCTGTGTATTCCTTCCATCTTTTTTTATATTTTTTGCATCATTCAATATAATGCCCACAGAATCTTTCAGTATTTCAACTCAAGGCTTAAATTTTTTCTTCAGTTCTTTCACCTTGAGAAATGCTGAATGTGTTCTTCACATTCTCCAGGTTTTCTATCTCCAGGTCTTTTCACATCTAATTATAATAACTGACTTTGTCTTCTCAAGCTGCTCTTTGAAATCTGTTCAGCTCGTTCATCTTGTCATTTCTTCCATTTGCTTTAGCTACTCTCCATTCAAGGACAAGTTTCAGAGTCTCTTCTGACATCCACTTTGGTCTTTTCTTCCTTTCCTGTCTTTTAAACGACTTTTTGCTTTCTTCATAGATGATGTTCTTGATGTCATCCCATAGTTCCTCTGGTTTTTGGTCATTGGTGTTCAATGTATCAAATCTATCCTTTAGATGGTCTCTAAATTCAGCTGGGATATGATAAAGGTCATATTTTGCCTCTCATGGACTTGTTTTAATTGTCTTCAGCTTCAACTTGAGCTTGCATTTGAGCAATTGATGGTCTGTTCAACAGTCAGCTCCTGGACTTGTTTTGGCTGAAGATATTGAGTTTCTCCATTTCCTCTTTCCACAGATGTAGTCAATCTGATTCCTGCATATTTCATCTGGCAAGGTTCACGTGTATAACCATCACTTATATTGTTGGAAAAAGCTATTTGTAATGAATATGTTGTTGGTCTTGCAAAATTCTATCAAGAGATATCTAGCATCATTTCTATCACCAAGGCCATATTTTCCAACTCCAAATTATTTTCCTTTGTTTCCTACTTTCACATTCCAATCACCAATAATAATAAATCATCTTGATTGCATGTTTGGTCCATTTCAGACTGCAGAAGTTGGTAAAAATCTTCAATTTCCTCATCTTTGACTTTGGTCGTTGGTGCATGAAATTGAATAATAGTAGTATTAACTGGTCTTCCTTGTAGGTGTATAGATATTATCCTATCACTGACAGCATTATACTTCAAGATAGATCTTGAAACATTTTTTATGACGATGAATGCCACACCTTTCCTCTTCAATTTGTCATCCCCAGCATAGTAGATCATATGGTTGTCTGACTCAAAATGGCCAAAAGCAGTCGATTTCAGCTCACTAATGCCTAGGATATCGATCTTTATGCATTCCATTTTTGACAACTTCCAATTTTCCTAGATTCATACTTCATACGTTCCATGTTCTGATTATTAGTGGATGTTTGCAACAGTTTCTTCTCATTTTGAGTCTTGTCACATCAGCAGATTGAGGTCCTGAAAGCTTTACTCCATCCACGTCATTAAGGTAGACTCTACTTTGAAGAGGCAGTTCTTCTCCAGTTGTATTTTGAGTGCCTTTTCTGACCTGAGGGGCTCATCTTCTGGCACTATATCAGACAGGCTATTCATAAAGTTTTCCAGTAATAAATCAGACACTGTTATATACCTATTCATAAGGTTTTCACTGGCCAATTGTATGAGAAGTGGATGGCCCCTTCCCTCTTCCCAGTCTGTTTTAGTCTGGAAATTCCACCATAGGTGACCCTGCTAGTATTTGAAATACTGATGGCATAGCCTCCAACCCCACATCAACACACAAGCCACCAAATACAACAAACTGACAGACAAGTGGTGGAGCAACCCTGTATAGGGCTCACTATATTCAATAAATAATATTTGTTTTTTGGAAAGCTTTCTTGGGCAGGAATGAGGAGATTGGACGGATGATGCAGAATGGAGGATGGCCAGAGCAGGAACAAATTAGAAAGCTGTAGAAGTAATCTGGGGACATCGGTCAGTAGAAGGTTGCATCTTGCTATCATGCCAAAAATCAGCCAATGAAAATGTTATGGATCACAACACTCTGATCTGCAGCCAGTCATGGGGTGGGACTAGACAGTGTCCTGGTTTATTCATTATCCAAAATTAAGAAGTAATAAGAGGTTTAGACAGGGACAGGGGAAAGCAAAGGGATTTCAATAAATCTGAGGAGGTAGAATCATGGACTTGATGTGGGAAATGCAAGAGAGAGCAAAGTTTAAATGATTCCCAGGTGTCTGGTTTGGGTGATTGGGAGCATGGTTTTATTGTTAGAAACTCAAGAGCAGGAGCAGACTAAGGGGGAAGATCATGCATCAAGTTTGAGACCATTTGAGTTTAGGGATCCAAGAAGCATCCAGATGGTGATGTCCATAGACATTCAGTAGAAATATTTGAGCAAAAAGTATAGATTTGGGAAGAATATAAAAGATTACTGAAGTTTTAGGAGTGAATTCAGTCTTCCAGGCATGGTCTACTAAGTGAGAGTGACAGGCCAAAGATGGAATGCTCAAGGACATTGACTATATTAGTTTCCCACAAAGCTCTGTTGGCAAATTGTCTAAGGCATTTGACTGCTAACCAAAAGGCTGGCAGTTCAAACTCACCAGCCACTCTGTGGAAGGAAGATGGGGCAATCTACTTCTGTAAAGATTTACCTCCTTGGAAACCCAAAGGGGGTTGCTATGAGTCAAAATCAACTCATTGGCAGTGGGTTTGGTTTTTGGTTTATATTAGTTTCCTAGGACTGCTGTAATAAACTGCCACAAACTCAGTGACTTAAAACAACAGAAATGTGTTCTTCCACTGTTTGGGAGGCTATAAGTTTGAAAACCAAGTGTCAGCAGAGCCATTCTCACTAGGAAAGCTATAGGGGAAAACCCTTCTTTGCCTCTTCCAGTTTCTGGTAGTCCCAGGCATTCTTTGGCTTGTAGCAGTATAACTCTAATCTCTGCCTCCATCTTCATATGGTTGTCTTCCTTCTGTCTCACTGTGTCTCTTCTCCTTTTGTTACAAGAACACCAATCATATTGGTTTAAGGTCCACACTATTCCATTATGACTTCACATTAACTAATTAGATCTACAAAGAAGCTATTTCCAAATAAGGTCACATCCACAGTTAATGTGAGTTGGGATTTGAACATATCTTTTGGGGGTATACAGTTCAACCCATAACAGCAATATTTGAAAGGGAAGGTCAAGAAAAGGAACCTATGAAGAAATCTGAGAAGAAACAATTGAAGGACACCAAAGGAAAAACCAAGAGAGGGTGCTATTGCTGTAGCCAAAGACGGGGAGTGTTTTAAGAAGGATGCCATTAACTGTGATAAAGCCGTAGCAACATCCAAATAGATGGCAACATTGGTGGCCATTGGTAACAACAATTCGATATATTCTCTATGCTGCCTGGGTCTGTGGCCTGCTCCACCCATCTGTGAATGCTGGCCTCCATGACTTTCTTCACAGAATTTCCCCATTCTTCACCAAACCAACTCTGCCTTCCAGATATGGCTTAAAACACACTCTCATCAGGAACCCTCACATGTCCCCTTCAATTATCCTCTAAGTGTATGGGTAGATCATTTTGCATTTCCTGAGAAGTTACTGTGAGCCATATAATAATGCTGGTCAGTGACTCCACAAATCACTAATATATCTAATCCCTAATAAGACATAATCTAATTGCCTCACTGGTGAAAGCATACAGAACTGGAGGAATTCTCTACATAGGTAGAGAATTACCTATGGTTTAGTGTTCCACATAATGTAGAACAGCAGTTAAGGCAAGTTTGAAGAAGTTAAGGGCTTTAAGTCTGTGCCAGATTGTAAGCTCCTTGAGAGTGGCCCTGGTCTCCTTCATCTTTTCA